AAGGCATCAATTTGTGAGGGGCTAGAACTGAAAATATTGCCCTCTGCTACGTTCCTCTGAGATGCTGAGGACAGTAAAGATGGAACAGTTGATTTAAAAGATGCAACTGCGTTGTCAGATAGAGATCGACTAAAGTGAAATTTACTTTCATGTCTCGAGAACTCAGTTAAAAAAACTCAAAGGTTATCAGAAAGTGGTCCGAGAGGACTGGGTTATGTGGAAAGATCGTTATTTCCTCACACTCTATGCCATAAGTCAGCACAAGGTCCAATGTATGATGGCAGGAGTGGGCGGAGCTATGTATTCTTTGAGTAAACCCAATTGAGTCTAAGATATTACTAAAGGCTACACTGAGGCCATCACTGAAGCTGAAGACCAGCGTTCTTACTGAGCAGGTCCTTTTGCACGTTCTGCAGTGTGATGTGAAGGTCTGGGTGGACGTGGTGCTGAATCTGCTCGAGAGGGAGTGACGCGTCTTCATGGACGAAGGGTTTGTTTTGAAGAAGGACAAGCAGGACACGCTGCAGAAGTCTTTCATGGTTCCTTTAAGGTCCACGACGGCCATGATGAGGTCCAGAGGCTGCGAGATGTCCCTGAAGCCAAGAAAGACACAAAGTTCACAGAAACCAGAAGTTCAAGAGTCAAAAACGAGTCCAGCGTGCAGGACGGGACTTTAGCGGTTACTTCAGTTTATGAATATGAAAATATGATTTTTATTGTAAAACTTCCCTTTTGACTTTATTGATTCTGAATACGACTGATTGGTCTAAAAGTAGTGATTTATTTTCCATTAAACAGATTTTTTACTTTTACTTTGGGGATAAATGTTTTTTTTATTCTGTTCATCCCGCTTCATAAAAACTCAGCACAACTCTGACCTGCTGCAGTCGTTTATTACCCGTTGGAGCAGAACTGAATAAAACATTTGACCATTTCTGCTGATGAACTTGAATAAAATACCATTCAAGCCCATTTTCTCCGTTGTTTCATAGCTGGGTTTGTTAGAAGTGTTAAACGAGGAAATGCTTTCACGTCCCTGAGGAACGCCGTGCAGAGCCGACGGTTTCGCGGACCAACCTGAAACAGTAGTAGCACGACTTGACGGTGGCTTTGCTGGGAGGAAACTTCTCCAACAGACAGGATTTGGAGCAGAAGACTTGGGCGAAGCCTTTCATTTGGTAGGCGGTTTGCCCTTTCATCATGACCGCCTCACAGGTGGAGCAGACCATCCGAACCACCTGAAAATACCCAAAACAGGATTGGTTAGTTAATAAGATGGAGCACAACGTCCTCCTCACAGCTTTCACAGGTATAAATATAACCCGGTTGACTGGCGGGTTAACCACCTGGTAAAGAACCGTTTAGTTGCTATAACCGCTGGAACAGACCCCGTCTGCTACGGCCTCAGCGAAGCTGCCTGCACTACCTGGTCGGGCCGAGCCCATCAGTCACTGAACTCCCTGTTAAAAGGGAGTTCCTGGAGATGTGATGGGGAGAAACCGGAAGAGTGCTGACGCTGGGGTGTTGTCACTCCTCCCTCCCTCTCGTGTGCAGACGTTTAAGTCCGACCTGTGTAACCTGAGAGGTTTCAATCTGACTAGTAGAAGTATCTTAGTCGACTCTGCTCACCCTAACCCTAAACTAGAGATCGCTTTTCTATGAGAGAACCTTTGTTATATTCCCCATTTGGTCATTTTGTTTATTATTTATTTTATTTATTCATTGCAGCCAAGAGAGCAACGTTCCTTTTAATAAAATCCTTTTAAGAGATTTCAAACTTGGTTATTTTCAGCAAACTTTCTTTACTCCCTCATTTACCGTCACACTCTTAGACGAGCTGAGGGACGCAAGAACCGTGAATCTAACAACCGCTAAATGTCCTGTGTTTGTACAGCACCTCCTGACCCCGGCTTTCCACCGGAGCCGTCAGCAGCACGTCTTGCTCGCGTAAGCTGCTGCTTGGCCCCTCCCACCAGAGACGCGAAGCAGCAGGGGAGCAGCTGTCACCGACCGAGCACGAAGTCACACGAGTGACTTCTTCAGTAAACACAACAACAAGCAGGAGAAAACTACAACATGGTTTGTGTTTTATGTTCTGTCCGTTTTATAATCGCCAATACGGACCTGAAAAACAAAGGAGACCGCTAGCTAGGTGATAACTTCTCACGGGGACACACAGTTACTAACTTGTTTTAAAGTAAAGCAACCGGAAGGCAGTACGTTCTTTATTCTGAAAATCTCGGGAGCTTTGCTCCGTTTCTGCGTCCGATTTCCTGTCTTTCCTTCCCCAAAAATGTCGAACTTGACCCGTTTCAGGCGTCGCGAGTAGAAAATAGAACCGGCGTGTAGGGGTTAGGGTTCTACAGCCCCCCAAGGCGCTTCACAACACAGTCAGCCATTCATACGCTGGTGGTGATGAGCTACCATGTAGCCACAGCGGCCCTGGGGCGCACTGACAGAGGCGAGGCTGCCGAGCACTGGTGCCACCGCTCCCTCCGACCACCACCAGCAGGTAAGCTGGGTTAAGTGTCTTGCTCAAGGACACAACAGCAGAATTCTCTGGTCGGAGGCGGGATCAAACCTGCAACCTTCCGATTCCTGGACACCCCGCTCTGCCTGCCGTGCTGCTGCTGCTGCCCTGCGTAACAAAACATGAAACGCTCTCCCAGGTGTGGGAGTTAGAGAGCTGATAAACGCCGAGGTGGTTTGGGTTCATCTGGTGGCGCTGGGACGTGACGGACTCCTTTCTCCCCCTGAAGTACACTTCTAGCAGGTTTTTAATTCTTGCACTCAGTTTCACAAAGTCAGCTGGAGAACTGAGCAGATAAATAAAAACACGAGTCCAGACACGTGCGGTGGCGCATCGCTGCTTCCTGAAAGCACTGAAAGCTCATCTGACGTCTAAATCACGGAGTTTCAGACCTTTTTGGGATCGGGTTTGTTCCTTTCCTCTACAGGCGGAGGAGGCGGAGGAGGCGGTTCCCTTCGGGCGTCGTCAACAGGAGCGGGGTGTTCGTTCACCGGCCGCTCGATGCTCAAGTTGTTGATCGGAGTCTCCATTTTATCCTGAAATTACAGCGAAGCACCAAAACTCAAAAACAAGGATTTAAACAACAACAGGTTAGATACTCTGGCGTTTTTCTCCCGTGTGAAATAAAAACTCACCAGACTGAGTCTCGGGAGAAGTATCTTCACTTCTTTCATCCTGCTCAACAACGCCGCTAGCTTGTCTTTTGCTGCTGAACATAAAGAACAAAGACCTGGTGGTTTATTTACCGCTGAAACGCAGCTTCTGTCTACAGAAACGCTCTTCATCTGCAGTTTTCTAATCCCAGCAGCCGTACCACCCCCCCGATAATGATGCTGTCTGAGATCTCACCTGTTCTCAGCGGGGGAGGGGAACCATCACTGTCTGCAGCCTCCTCTTCCTCATCTCCTCCCTCCTCCAGGTGGCTCTTCTCAGACGTGTCCACAACCTCGTCAGCATGGTCCTTCCTCTCGCGCTCCTCGTTCTCTTCATCACCATCAGCCTGACTTTGCTCATTTCTCACATCATCATAATCATCGGTGTCGATGTCCATGCTGAAATCCACATTCATGCCTTCATCGTCGTCACTAAAATAAGTGTGTGATTTTGTCGTTTTGCTTTGAGATGGCGGCTCTTCTGGGATCTTCTCTGAGTTTTTATCTTTCTCTCTTTCTGCTGCGTCTTGTTGCTCCTCGTTCGGCTCCGGCTGCTCATTTACATCCTCCTCATCCTTCTTCCTCTTCCTGCCTCGGCTTTTCCTTTTCGCTGCTGAAGACTTGCGTTTGGAGGGGGAAGCACCTGGAAGGCGAGCGGAAAGCACAGTAGCAGGTGATTGGGTGCCTTACTGGCGGTAAAAGAACAGCTAATGCGGGAGGAGTTGCACACCGTCGGCCTGAGAAGAGTCTTCATCCTCAGCGGGACGGGTCTGCTCCACAACCGGCTGCAGCTTATCTTTAAAACAATAAGAGAAAAAAGATTTATTACTTTTAGAAAGTTCTTTAAAGAGCAAGTCACCCCCGAAGCAGCTGTTTTTTCTGATAAACTATATAACTGCGTGTCTAATCGTGCTGCAGACACGCGTCGTCAATAGTTTTGCACTTTAGTGGATTTTAGTTAAAATTTTAATTTTCTACCAGAAACTGTCAGTGTTGTGCCGTAGTCAGGTAAAGACTCTGCACTGCATTTGAATTTAAATCTGCCATCGCTATTGGCTAAGAGGTACCCTAGGACGTTAGCTGGTACCATATGATGTCACAATGTTGTCGTGAGCCTGTGGCTGCGTCTCAATTCAGGGTCTGCATCCTTCGTCGGCCGGTTACGTCACGGCGCCGCGACCAGGCCTGTCCCAATTTGAAGACTCCTTCAAATACGGTCGACGAATCCGGCCTTTTTTCGCCTGAATGAAGGATGGGTCCGGTGTATCCTTCAGTGGTTCACATTTCCCAAAGATGCCTTGTGGGCCGGATGGCAGAACCATCAGAACTTTTAAAAACAATGGCGGACAGCGAAGCGGGAGCTGTCGGAGAGGATTGTGCATATAAATGTCAGTATAAACTGAAAACTGTTAGGTTAAGGGCTTTTTGTGACACAAGAACGTTATTCTAGTTAGAAATGTTACAGTAAACGTGCTTGTATTGCGGTCTCGGCTCGTATGTTCGGCCGCTCGGTGTCGTACTTCTCCCGCTACGTTTCCCCCTGATTTTAATAGAAGTTTAGAACCAGGGAGTTTATTAAGCTCAGGGCGGAGATGGACCACATGATCACTGGAGCTAAGTATTTGGCGGCTGTGGCATGGAGGTACAATAACATCTCATATTTTAAGTTTATTTTTTTCTGCGAAAACATGAAAGGAATAACCCGTTGTCCTCTTTTCTCTTCCTGTTGCTTCTCTTACATGTTTGTTAAGACTATTCTGGAGAAAATGGGCATCCAGGGGAAGGTGCCAGCGATGACCAGCTTCTGGAGCTGATCAGGGAGGACATGAGGCTGCAGAGGGAGGCAGAGCAGCAGAGGGCCCAGGAGAAAGATTAAACATGTACATATAAAATAAATATCTAAATAAAATCAGTTCTGTATTAAACTCTTGAATTTTATTTTTGTTTACAAATGAGAATTGTTTACTAGAGGGTATCCACTGGGTCTGAAAGTCTTAAAAGGTGATAAATGGGTTTTGGTCAAATGAAGACCCTTAGAAAGTATTAAACACTATGATCACATCTTTGCTCAGGCTCAGCTTGTCGAAACTATTTTCTCTGAATTAGCTCTCCAACAGTCAAGGAAATGATTAAAGATCTAAATAAAACTTCGAGCTCCATCGTTTAAAGTTCCTTCTCCCTTCTGCTCAGCGGTTCTACGGTTGCTAGGCGATGGAACGTTCGCCGAGGGAATTCATGAAGGCTAGGCCTGTCCAAATTCACAGCCATTACCCCCAAATTCCACTACCTCCGCTCCGCTCCGCCCCCGCCTTCCGCAGCCGCTCGCTTCCGAACTCAATTTTTACTGGTACCCGCTCTACAACGGCTCCGCTCCGGTGCGGAGACCTGAGGTGGGCCGGCGTCCGGCGAAAATAGGATCGATTCTATTTTTGCCGGACGCCGGAACAGAGGGCGGCGCACGGCGCCGCACTGCCGGAGCACAGCCGCAGTAGTGGAATTGCTCTAATTGACTAAAACGGGACCGATTTTGCTCCGGCGTTCGTGTCGGAGCGGAGCTGAATTTATTGTAGGAAAATTCAACAAGCAGTCCAAACTGATACTCAACATGTTTAACATGAGCTATCTGAACCGTGATGGAGGGGTTTCCAGCACACTGCTGCCAACTAGTGGTCAGTGTTTGAATTGCACCAAAAATAAAAGAAAATCTTTGCCTGTAAAAATCTTCCAAAAATTCGATACACAGCAACTGAATATCGATATAAAATCACTGGAAAAAATATCCCGATATGTTGCCATATGGATAATTTCTTACATCCCTAGTCCATGATTTACACAAGCATGAACAGCAAGCATGTGCTCAAAATGGTCATTTCTCTTTGCCTTGTTAAAGCGATGACCACGTTCACTTGCAGTTTCAAGCACTTTTAAGCACTTTAGTAGAAATTCATTGAAAAAACAACATGAAAATTAAACTAAGAATTTCAAGCAACTTTTAGAAACCCGAATATAAGAAGCATGAAAAATGTTAAAGTTGCCACCAGTAGCTCATTAGTCACCACTAGGGCTGCACAACATATCGAAAAATTATCATCATCGCGATAACAGGACGTGCGATAGGCCCATCGCAAAGCACGTCAAAAACGGGGATAAATGTTTGATTCAAACTATTATTTAACATTTAAACTTATTTTCTGATTTTTTTTATTTATTCAAAAATCCTGGTAAGGGAGGTTTTCTGTATTTGGAGCATCAGAACAAGTTTTATGGTGGAGGTGATGTTTTAAAGTCACTGAGAAACTGCATGCATGCAGTTTGTTGTTTTGCTGCTAATACAGTAGCGGGTGCAGCTGCTAATACAGTAGCGGGTGCAGCTGCTAATACAGTAGCGGGCGCAGCTGCTAATACAGTAGCGGGCGCAGCTGCTAATACAGTAGCGGGCGCAGCTGCTAATACAGTAGCGGGCGCAGCTGCTAATACAGTAGCGGGCGCAGCTGCTAATACAGTAGCAGGCGCAGCTGCTAATACAGTAGCGGGTGCAGCTGCTAATACAGTAGCGGGCGCAGCTGCTAATGCAGTAGCGGGCGCAGCTGCTAATACAGTAGCGGGCGCAGCTGCTAATGCAGTAGCGGGCGCAGCTGCTAATACAGTAGCGGGCGCAGCTGCTAATGCAGTAGCGGGCGCAGCTGCTAATACAGTAGCGGGCGCAGCTGCTAATGCAGTAGCGGGCGCAGCTGCTAATGCAGTAGCGGGTGCAGCTGCTAATGCAGTAGCGGGTGCAGCTGCTAATGCAGTAGCGGGTGCAGCTGCTAATACAGTAGCGGGTGCAGCTGCTAATACAGTAGCGGGTGCGCAGCTGCTAATACAGTAGCAGGTGCAGCTGCTAATACAGTAGCGGGTGCAGCTGCTAATACAGTAGCGGGTGCAGCTGCTAATGCAGTAGCGGGTGCAGCTGCTAATACAGTAGCGGGTGCAGCTGCTAATACAGTAGCGGGTGCAGCTGCTAATACAGTAGCGGGTGCAGCTGCTAATGCAGTAGCGGGTGCAGCTGCTAATACAGTAGCGGGTGCAGCTGCTAATGCAGTAGCAGGTGCAGCTGCTAATACAGTAGCGGGTGCAGCTGCTAATACAGTAGCGGGTGCAGCTGCTAATACAGTAGCGGGTGCAGCTGCTAATACAGTAGCGGGTGCAGCTGCTAATACAGTAGCGGGTGCAGCTGCTAATGCAGTAGCGGGTGCAGCTGCTAATACAGTAGCGGGTGCAGCTGCTAATGCAGTAGCAGGTGCAGCTGCTAATACAGTAGCGGGTGCAGCTGCTAATACAGTAGCGGGTGCAGCTGCTAATGCAGTAGCGGGTGCAGCTGCTAATACAGTAGCGGGTGCAGCTGCTAATGCAGTAGCGGGTGCAGCTGCTAATACAGTAGCAGGTGCAGCTGCTAATACAGTAGCAGGTGCAGCTGCTAATACAGTAGCAGGTGCAGCTGTATATTATTGCAATAAAAATGTTATGTTGTAATGGAATTCATGCATTAGTTTTTGTTTGCTTTGAGCCCAGAGCAGACGTCACACGCCAGACGACATCAACACTGCATACTTTAGTATTTGTTCATTTATCGTGAGTAATATCGATATCGCAATATTAAGCACTGTTATCGAATATCATAGGTTTTCCTAATATTGTGCAGCCCTAGTCACCACGGTAACTAGAAGGGGCTTTTTGGACAACCATGGCAACCAGTAGAAGCTCGTTAGTATAACCACGGTAACCACCAGTCAGAGGCTTTTGGGAGTCACCATGGTAAGCATCTGTGGCTTTCACCACTTGCTAAGCAGATCAAAGATCTTTCATGAAGTTTCCAGTGAGACATACCTGGAATCTCGATTTCTTCTAAAGATTTTCCGTCAAACAACTCTGGATATCCGGACTCGACAGCAGACAGCAGCAGAAGGACCTTAGCGATGTCTGCAGCGGCCTCTGGTGTCCGATAGAACTCTCCCTCTGTCTGAATGTCGCGGCCCAGATGCTTGGCCAGCAGATCGAGCTCGTCGTTCCCGAGGATGAGAATCTGGAAAACTCTTGCCATGTGTTTACGAAATAACGGAGACCTGAGGAAGGCTGGATCTTTGGCACCACAGAAACCTATGAAGGTTGACAGGAAATGGAAGGGGCTGCAGACACTCGAAGCGTTCGGCTTTGCCAGCAAGTAGGGGTTGTGTTCAGACACGCTGGCGGTTTTCCGCTTCTCCACCAGCAGAGTAATAGCAGAGAGCAGGTCGGGAGTCAGGACCAGAACCACCTTTTGTCCCACTTTGGTGGCAACATGGAGCTTCACCGTGCACTTGGAAAATATGTCCTCAAACTGGATCTGGCGGCCGTCGGTGGTTTCCTGTAGCTCAGGGTCTTTCCTCTCCAGGAAAGACTGCAGGGTGACATGTGAGATGTCTTCGTTTCGGTTTAGAATTAAAGCGTACGCCACGATCACTTTGAGGAGTGCGTAGTAGACCGGAGGACATTCGTACAGGGTCAGGCTCTTGACAGCAGAAGCTAAGATGTTCTCAATGTGTTTGAAGAGAACCTGAACATCCCGAATGAAGGGTAGGGTTGGTGGGTTGGGCCCTTTGGAAGGACCCGGGACATTTGACGGCCATTCTTTAGCACACAGCTTCATGAACTCCTCTGCCTCCTCTATCACCTCCTTGTCGGCCCGGTCGTTCAGAACCACCGCGTACTTTACATTAGCCAGTTTCCTGAGCAAAGCCGGAATGGCGCACACGAGCCTCTTGCTGAAGTCTTTGCTGGAACCTTTGAGTTTTGCGACAGCCTCAACAATACTGCTGAAGTTCTGAGGTTTCAGAGCCTCATCGAAGCTGAAGATGGACTTCTCGTTTAAGATGGCGAGAAGCCGGCCCAAGTACCTCAGCTTACGGCTGATTTCTGAATCTCGTTGCTTGCTCTCACTTAAGTGGTACAAACAGTGGGCCAGTCGCAGCAGGTACGTGTCCTTTAAGACTAGAGAGCCAAACTCGTCCTTCTTCAGCTTTTTTAACATCCTCTTCACATCTGACGACATGTGCTGGGGGTCCGTGAAACCGGTGGCGACCAGAGCCAGGATCTGGGCCCTGCTTTCTGCTGGAGGGTTTGAGATCTTTGAAGAACAGGTCTGGAGATGTTTCCAGAAACCGTTACGCCTGACCAGGACCTTACAATAGATGCAAGCTGCGGACATTTCTAGAGAAGACAAGTTAGTTTTTTTTCTCACTTTCAGATGACCTCTCCGACTCTTCAGCACTTTCTGGTTGTGTTTGTAATTCCCTCTGCTTCGCAGCTTCTGCAGCAGCTTTTGCCGGGCCTTGCCATGTTTGGGCAGCGAGAAGGCCTCGGCGATCTCAGGCTCCTCATTTCTGTGGGTGAAAAGGTGCCGAGAGATTTTTCCCTGCGGTTTGTCACAAACGTAGCAGAAGTTCCTGTTGGTGCAGGTGGGACTTCTGAAGGCCTTCTCCGAGTCTGAGCCATCTGAACTGAAACGGGTCAGGTCGTTCTGTTCGGAGGAACCTTCTTCGGGAAGTTCGGACTCTGACATGCTGTCATCACTGTCTGGTTTTTCAGCACACACGTATTCTTCACCAGAGGATTCGTCGTAACTGAAGGATTCTGCAGAGTCTTCATCCTGGAAAATAAACAAGTATGTGAGTAAGACTTGTGAGTTTCTTCTTTCTCTGGAAGATTAAAGTCTGATTATGTTCTATGCAGACGACACCCAGCTCTATCTGTCATTTCCACCGGACGACCACACTGTCTCTGCACGAATATCAAACTGTCTCTCTGACATCTCAAAATGGATGAAATCCCACCGTCTCCAACTCAACCTCTCTAAAACTGATCTACTTGTCATCCCAGCAAAACCATCCATACAGCACAATATCTCAATCCAAAATGACTTCCTATCTCTGGCTCCTTCAAAGGCAGTTTGAAATCTGGGTGTTGTGACTGATGAACACCTGACCTTTAAAGATCATGTTGCCTCTGTTGCTCGTTCATGCCGCTTTGCGCTGTATAACATACGAAAGATCAGACCATACCTAACACAACATGCCACCCAGCTCCTGGTGCAATCTACTGTCATCTCCCGCCTCGATTACTGCAACGTCCTTCTAACTGGTCTTCCAGGCTGTACTGTGAGACCTCTTCAAATGGTCCAGAACGCAGCGGCGCGTCGGGGCTTCAATCAGCCAAAAAGAGCACACGTCACCCCTCTGTTCATTGAGCTCCACTGGCTACCGCTAGCAGCACGCGTCAAATTCAAACTGCTAACACTAGCATACAAACTCCGAGACGGTACGGCTCCCATCTACCTGAATCCTCTTGCAAAGGCTTACGTCTCGGCCCGGCCGCTCCGGTCATCACAGGATGGTCGGCTAGCAGTGCCTACACCACGCTCAGGACAATCCAGACTCTTCTCATGCATCGTTCCACAAATGTGGAATGACCTTCCTAACACTACCAGAACAGGAGCTTCCTTTTCAATTTTCAAGAAACTCCTGAAGACCCTGCTCTTCAGAGAGCATCTTCTAAACTAGCACCCTCCCTGCACCCGTCCCCCCCTCTACTGTCCACTCCTTGTTCCCTCCTCTACATGATTGATGTCAAGTTGTTGTTGTTGTTGTTGTTGTTAGCCTCAAGGACAACATGCTGATTATCACTTATAAGTCGCTTTGGACAAAAGCGTCTGCTAAATACATAAACATAAACATAAACATGTTCCAGTTTCTGTCAAAAACAATCAGGTCAACTCTGCATCAGTCTGGAGGTACGTCTGCAAATGCGTACATGCTCCATGACTGACGTCCGCATGTAAACAGACGCTATTGGCTAATGCCGAGCAGCACGCAGTTCAGTTAGCATGGGGCTCAATGGGGGGGGGGGGGGGTCAGACGGATCAGTAAATGCTTTCACCTCAGCTCCTTCTTCACCGTCTCCTTCACCTCAGCCTTCAATCGTTCTCTACGTATTCTCTTGATGCTAAATTTCTTATTAAAGTCTCGTTGGTGAACTCAGCCCAAATAAATCAACTTTTAAAAGTTTTTATGAGAAGCTACAAAGTTAAAACTGGCTAATTTAACATTTTTGTTTTCGGTTTTACATAAAAAATGTAATTTTATAACACATACTTGTTCATCCACCAGCGAAGGGCCAGCAGCTTTAGAGTCTGTTTCTGACATCTTCACGTCTTCACCAACTTCCTGAGACCAGAGAAAACAGAAGAAGTGTTGGACGAAGAGACGTTTGTGCAGAAAAACTAAATATTTCAGTTAAAACAGAAACAACAGATGATGCTGTTAAAACCAAACTCACCTTTGAGCGCCACACGTAGCGGGTGGAGTTCCCGCCGTAGTCAAAAGTTATTTCCTCTCCGGGTAAAATCTTCTTCTGGGCAAACAGACACAGGTGAGGTTTCTCCTCATGGGTCATTTTCATCACTTTGCAGTTGGGATTAATGTGATCGTCGTTCACAAGCCTTCCCAAAGTCCCGTCATCCGCTGAAGCGTCGATGCTACAAAAAAAAATAAAAACTTGAAACTGCTCCGATTTGACTGGTTGTTGAATTATCTTACATTAATTTCATGGTTTTACAATTCACTGAGATTTATTATTTACTTCACACACTTTTATTTATTTGTTTATTTAGGACAGTGCATGCATGTTAATGAACATTAATGTAAAAGCAGATTACATTAATTTAAACATGCCAGATTATAGCCAAAGGCTAATTTCCATCTGTTGTCCTTAGACATAAAGACATAAAAATTCATCATTCATTCATAATAAAAACACCATCACCAAACTTCCACATACACACCATTCTATTCACAAATAAAACATTAAAACTATACAACTCATACATGATCACACACTTGATTTGTCCATAACCAGTTTTTAACCTTTGCCTTAAACAAATTGAAGGTCGAGCATTCTCTAATGGGATGAGGAAGACTGTTCCACAGATGGCCACCCTTGACAGAGGACGTTCTGCCCAAATGCTGTCCGTCTATGTGGTATAAACAATTCTCCTCAAATTGTAACTCGTGTTGTCCTGTTTGAGCTTTCTTTATGCCTAATGAACTGCTTTAGTGGTGGTGGAGCAAGGGAGTGTAAGACTTTATATATTAAACACACTCTTTTAAGTTTCATTAAGTTATTGAAGTTCAGTAAGTTTTTATTAAACCTTCCATAGTTATTTGATTAATCCGACTTCTGTTCTTCACACTGATGGAATCCCATCACCAGCAAACCTTTTGGGTGTTGAAACTGAACTCACCACCAGTTTGTTCCATTCCAAGAAAAGTAGAACAGAAAATCCTTCAACGCGTCTCCGTGGTTCTCCTCGGAGGGTTCCTCAGCAGGACAGACGTTCCCACGGAACTCAACAACGAAGGTCCACGGTTCAATGGGTTCCTTAGTGAACACACCTCTCCCTGGACAAAGAAAAAACATTTATAAAAGTTAAACATCTGTTTAAGTCAGAGCTTAAAGAGGACTAACACCAACACTATTTGATTCACTTCAACTGTTTTTATTAGTTAAACTGTATTTGGATTAAAACTAGAAAATTCCAGCTTAAAAAGTCTTAGCCAATCAGGAAGCAGAGATTTTCCCGCCTTTTTGGCAGCAGTAAGAGGTTGTTTTAACACTTGCTGTCCTCAGACAAGCCTGTCAGTTATTTAAGAAATAATTCAACCTCACTTTTTATTTTCACTAATTTAAATTATAAAATATTTATTTTGTGGTGTCCGAGGTTCTACTGATCTGAAATAAAGGTTATTTGGACACTAAAGAAAATAAAAACTACTGATCTTTTAGGTTATGAATAACAGGGTTGGTTTACCTGAAAACAGATTTCTACATAACTAAAATAAATAGATTCAGCAAACGTCAAACCACAGAAATCTTATGAAAATCATTGTTGATGAAGTGAAATCCATCAAAAGCTGCTCTCAAATTTAAGAGTTTAATCAACAAACTTTAGATAAAAATATATATAAAACATCCTTAAAAGAAAATCTCATCTATCACTTTGTACTGATCAACGCTTCATAGCCTGAAGGGTTTCCATTAAAACAGGAAATGATGAGCTTTCCTTTGGTTTGCATTTCTGAATGCTTGGACGTATTTGGGATTATCAGGAACTCAAGATAAACATTATTAAACAAAGAATAAATCACATTTTTTCATCCAACGTAAAAACTATTTTACTAAGTTACACCATTAAGCAGTTCAAGATGAGCTGAATTAAATATTGCAGTGAAAGAAGCCATCTTCATCTGTTGTCACAATCTGACTTAAATAAATAAATAATAAACTAATTTAGATATTTTTTTAATTTTCTACAATCAATAAATCAAACATCCCAAACCTTTAAATGAATCGATGAACCTCTCCTGGAGGAAGGATTTGTCTCTCCGAGCCTTGATGTGCTCCAGAGCGTCCTGCTCAGCAGCCACCCGTCTGCTCTGCTCCGCGTCGTCTGAAAAAACATTTTTATTAAATATAATCACAGATCAGAACTGTCAGTTAAAGAAAACTAAATAAAAATATCCGGATGTGTGCTTTGGATTTAATGACATTTGAATCTGGTGTTTTGGGACGGAGGCGTTCTCCTGTTTTCCAGCTGACGATGCTGAGACTCCGGTTCTGGTTCCCAGTCTAAACTAGCTCAATTTTACTAAATAAATTAAATATCCTAAAAATGTTAATGAATTAAACAACATGCGCCTTTCTGTTTATTTTGGGCACGCATCCCCCTGATGTCACAGTGTGGTCTTCCATCTCGATGCCAGGCAGAAAACACGGAGCACGGTACTTCCAGCTCGTAAGAAACTACAGTCAAGCCTGCGGATTTGTTGGGTCACGTGTAATTCCAGTAAGAGCAGCTTTCACAGTAAAACTTATAGTTCATGCTTCCTTATATTATTAAATCCAGTTAAGACAAATAAGATATGAAATTTTTATAAGACCCCTATGCACGTGTAGCCTCCGGAAATGGTCTGTTTTTCCATCTACAGGTCGACCTCTTCAGTATCGGGTCACATGGAGACATAAGTCCTAACTGGAGCTTTAATCTGCAAGAAGGGTACTGTGTTTGCCCAAGGTCCCTCGCAAAGCTCCCTCTTATCTAAGACTGCTTCAATTCACAGCACAAGACGGATGAACTTTCATAATTAAATCATAACAATAATGGCTGAAGAATAATAACAATGTTTTGATTATTCTGTGCTTAAACTGCTGAGGTCGAAATGAATATTATTATGTTATGATCAGTAAAGTTAGATTTAACAAGTGAATCACTATCTACTGACAGCTCACACACTCAGACACGTGACGATGACAAGGTTAAGCTAATATCTAGGGCTGAAACGATTCCTCGAGTACCTCGAATAATTAGAGTACAAAAAATCCTCGAGTCAAATTCTCTGCCTCGAAGCTTCGTTTAATTCATGTTTAATTAATTCATGGCTTTGCAAATGCCCGTGGTCATGTTTCACCCGGACCAAAATAAGTGACGCACATGCCCACTGGACTGAATGCACACGCGAGTAGCGAACGCAACTTAACTTTCTTTTAAGCCATGGCGGACAACGTGGACCCCGGTGGAGTGCGAAAGAGACAGAAAATGTCAAAGGTGTGGGACCATTTTTCACGTCGTAAGGCGGAAAATGTAGTCCAGTGTAAATACTGTAAAATGGATTTAGCCTACCGCACCACATCCTCCGTGCTGCAACCTGACCAGGAAACATTCACGTGTAAATGTCACTTCTGCAAGCGGATTCGGAGCCTCTACAAGATAATGCATTTTAGTCTGTATTTCTATATATTCTGCGGACACTGTGCAACTTTTTCATTTGTAGCACTCAGTTTCAGCTCACACCGTACGTCTGCTAGCAACACGTCGGACTTAAAATGTGCTAAAAATAGCAGTTTTGACAACACGTCTGACTTTTTACTGTGTTGTTATTGATGTCCGTTGTCCCTCAGGACTGCTGCAGGAGGACACGGGTATTTATGAGGAAAACGAAAGTAAATAAATGTTTTGTGATCAGTATAATTTGACATAACCACGGCAAACATGCTTTCGACAATCCTTGTTAGTGTGAGACAAAAAAAAAGTGTAGAAATTAAAACGAACGTGTGTTAATAGGGAAACAGCTGGCGAGCCATGTTTGCGCATGCGCCGTGAGCGGTTCTGGTTCTGTTTGAAGAAGAAAATATCATTTCTATAGCGCCACGAGGCGCTTCACAAAAATAAAAAAAATGTACAAATATAAAAAAGCATTTAGAAAATGTTTACAAATATATTTAAAATGAGCAAAAATAAGCAATTGTGATAAAAATGTTAAGAAAGAGAGAGAGTGAACAGGAAAGAGGGAAATCAGTGGATCGTGAGGAAGGTGGAATAGGTGGGAGAGCAGAATAAAGAGAGAGAGGTGAAGAAGGTCATACAAAAGCCAGCTTGAACAAGTGAGTCTTCAGCTGCTTTTTAAAGGAGACCACTGAGTCCACTGATCTCAGGCTCAGGGGGAGAGAGTTCCAGAGTCTGGGGGCCACAGCAGCAGATGATCTGTCACCTTTGACCTTTAGCCTGGTGCTGCACAACCAGTAGGCTTTGATCACTGGACCTCAGGGACCTGCTGGGGGTGTAGGGACTAAGAAGATCACCAATGTAAGATGGTGCTTGTCCATGTAAGGCCCTATAGACCAGAACCAGGATCTTGAAATGAACCCTGAAGTTGACTGGAAGCCAGTGAAGCTGGAGGAGAAGCGGGGTGATGTGGGTGTGTTTGGAGGACTTGGTCAGAAGCCGAGCACAGGCGTTCTGAACCACCTGTAGACGGTTCAGGGAGGTTCTGCTCAGACACGTGAAAAGAGAGTTACAGTAGTCTAAGCGTGAGGAGATGAAGGTGTGGAGAACTGTCTCAAGTTCAGAGCGGGACAGGGGCCGCAGCCGCTCGCATTTGTTTACTGTGAAGTAAAGTTGAAGTGCTGAAGTTTTGAAAACTAATTTTGAATAAAACTTGAATAACTGGCGATTGCTTTCTCATTTCAAGAGGTCTTTCATATTTTATAACATGCTATTTGATATAATGGTTTAAAAACGCAAGAGTAATTTATTAGAGTACTCGATTAATCGATAAAAGATTCGACAGCGTACTCGATTACAAAAATATTGATAGCTGCAGCCCTACTAATATGACACATTGCTTTCTTTTCCACCAATCAGAACTCCTGTATCTGACGCAAGGTGTGTTTTCTGAGGTTTGTTCGTAAAACCCTTTTTACATGTCAAATTCTGATTTGTTAGTAAATCTAAATATGCCGTACCTAAATATGTGTACCTCAGTTCCTTGGATAATCAGTTTGGCTTTAAGCCAAAACATGGTACTGACATGTGTATATACGCACTTAAAGAAATGGTCAATTGGTACAGAAATAGAAATTCTTCTGTCCTTATGTGTTTTATTGATGCCTCTAAGGCTTTTGATCGTGTAAACCACAGAAAACTTTTTATTAAGTTAAAGCTACGGGGGGTCCCTGGGTTTATTGTGAGAATCCTGTCTTACTGGTATGCTCATCAGAAGATACAGGTTAAATGGGGTGCCAGCATCTCTGCACCATTTGGCGTTAGTAATGGTGTTAGGCAGGGTGGAATTCTGTCTCCTATCTTATTTAATCTGTATGTTGACGATCTGTCTGTGCAGCTCAGAGCCTGTAACACAGGATGTTTGATGGGTACAACTTTGATCAACCATCTGATGTATGCTGATGATCTGGTGGTCTTTAGTCCAAGTAGTGCTGGTTTACAGCAGCTCCTAAATATCTGCTCTGAATATGGTGTGCAGTACGATATTCAGTATAATGCTGTTAAAAGTGCTATCTTGATATGTAGAACCAAGCAGGATAAAAGGCTAAACTTTCCTGTGTTCAAACTGTCTAATAGTGATCTTAATGTGTGTGAGAAGGTGAAATACCTTGGCCACTTTATAACTGATCAAATGCGTGATGATGCTGACATCCACAGACAGTGCTGTAAGCTGTATGCACAAGCTAACACTATAGCTCGTAAGTTTGGTTTTTGTTCACCTCCAGTTAAGGTGGCTTTATTTAAAGCATATTGAACTCCGCTCTACACAGCCCAACTGTGGTCATCCTACAATCAAAGCAGCATGAACAAGCTGCAAGTTGCATACAACGATGCCTTAAGGATCATACTTAAAATACCCAGAGGGGGCAGTGCCAGTCAGATGTTTGTAACAGCAGGCGTTTGTACTTTTAAAGCTCTTTTAAGAAAACTCATATTCACTTTTATAGGCCGACTGGATAGCTCTGCCAGCAGTATAATTTTAGCAATCACTGATCCTACTGTGAGCAGTTGTCGCTATTTCTCCAGTATAAGGAAACACTGGTTGAAGTGTTTGTGTGGTTAACCTTGTGTGGAACAGTTTATAGTAAAGCTTTTAATTACATTTAGATTTTTATTCAATTTTATGCTGTTATCTTTTTATTCTATTTATCTATTTTGTTTCATTGATCTGTTGTTTTATATGTATTTTATCTGGACCTAAGAGTCTGTCAATAAAGATTATCTATCTATGCCGATCTTTAAAACAGAGCTCACTTCACCCTGAGTCTGTTCTTGAGAAAGCTTCGGACCGGTCATCCGGAGCAGAACCTCTTTAACCCAGAGCATCTTTGTACAAGCTGTCAAAGACCTGCTGCACGCTACAGCTGACCGCAAACGGTTCCTTCAGAATAAACCTGAACCAACTTCATCTCCTTAAGAGTTATTCATAAGATGCAAACAACTGTGGTGACCTGCAGATATCTCGAGACCGGTATGGTCGTACTGCGGTTTCTCCTACGAACTTCGGTACCTTTGGGGTCCATCCGACTAGCTGACAGTCTGGATCTACAACGGGGGTCTCAGACGAAGGGTACGTAGGCTCACAGACTGCGTCTGATGTGGTTTTAGTTATGGCAGACCAAATTCACTCCCACTCAGAACTCAGTTCCTTCAGATACGAGGGTTCTGATAACGTCACATTCACACATCATCACACCTCACACTCCATCCACTTAAGATTCATTCATCACATGAAGTGTTCCTAGTTGTCACGTTTTTAACTGTTTAGAAAATAAATATCTTACTTTTTATAAACTTGACTCTCTTTTGAATTAATACCAAGTGTCTTACGATCTCTGAATAAACAAAGAACTCTAAATCTTCTGGTTAAACATTCAAAGACCAATCAGACCAGATTTCCATATTTATGTATAAATTCACATCATACTGGTCAAAGTGTAAGGTAGTACATCAAGATTTAAAAGCACCCAAATAAACACGTATGCTACTCCTACACACGAGGAAGTTGAAAGGCTAAATGAGACGACACACCGTTCTGCTCTGGGGGAAATGGACACATCACAAACCTCAGCTGGGGTGTTTATCACAACATACCGCTCTGCTGAGGTGGACTGGAATCCTTTTCAGTGCCTTTTCCACGGCTGCTCTGCTCCACATCTGGCTCCAGTTGGTCTGTAATAAAAAAAAAAAAAACCTTTCAAGGACAGATTTGCATTTAACAACGCCGATGAGCGTCATGAACTCACCTTCAATCTCAACCTCCTCCAGAGACTTTCCTTTGGATTTGCCCAGAGGGCCCTTCTCCATCGCCTCAAGCAGTTTAGCTATTTTTGCGAGTTCAGCCGCCGCCTGTGGGGTGCGGTAGTACTCCTGGTCAGCACGGATGTCGTAACCCATCAGCTTGGAGAGGTGTTCGAGCTCGTCATTCTCCAGATTGAGGATCTGGAATACCCTGGCGATGTGCTTAAGAAGGTGATCGGACCACAGGTGCTCGGGGTTTTCCGCACCACACAAACTAGAAAACGACTTGATGCAGTGGCTCCCGTGGTAGTGACTCGACTCGGAAGAATCCGGCTTTGCGAACAAGAAAGGGTTGTTCTCGTGGACACCACAGGCGAGCCTCTTACTGACCAGCAGCGTTAACGCGCCGACGAGCTGAGACGTCAACAGAACCGAGACGCTCTGGCCACCCTTGCTCAGAATATTTATCCTGATGAAGTTTTTGGATAGGATCTGCGTGGCGCCGTCCCTCTCCTGGAAGGCTTTCAGGCTCATTTCTGAGACGTGGAGGGTGGACTTGCTGAACACCGACGCCTGAGCGAGCGTCACTCTGGAGAGCGCGTTGAACACCTGAGAGTCTTCACCCGTTTTTAGGCTCTCAGTGGCAGAAGCTGACAAACTCTCCATGTATTTGTAGAGCGCCTGAACATCACGCGTGAACGGGACCGTAGACGGTCTGCTTGGCTTCTGCCCCCTCGCCGAAGACACGTCCTTTTGTGAGACCCTCCACTCACGGTCACACTTCTCTATGAATATTCTTGCTGAAGTTTTCATTGTTTCACTGCTTTTCTCCTGACTGAGGACAAGATTTCCCATTCTCTTTAAGGAATTTCCTAGTTTAAGGGCAAGAGCTGGTTTGACGTAGCTGTCGTCTCGGTCATTAAAGCCTACGATCTTCTTCATACAAGTCACGACCCTGAAGAAGTTCTTAGGCAGAAGGGCGTCTTCAAAGCTCAATATTGCCTTTTTTTGCAGCTCCAACAAGAACCTCCCCATTTCCCTCAGTTTACGTTGGATGTAGTCCCGCTTGCTCGGATCCTTTCTAAACTTCCTGGTTAAGCTCTTCGCCAGCTGGATCAGAAGGAGATCGTTCCGGATCACCAGCGGAATCTCATCTTGTTTCATAGTTGAAAGAATCTTCTTCACATCTGACGGGATTTGGTGCTTAAACTCCGACTCTTCAGGAGAAATGTCCTCCAGAGCTCCCATCTGGCCAGATGTTATGGACTCTGATGTTTTCTTGGCACAGCTGCTGACGTGTCTCCATAGCTGACTCTGCTTGAACATAGCTTTACAGTAAAAGCAGCGGCTGTAACAAGTCGCATCTGCAGCGTCGCCTCTCGAACGCCTCCTGACTTTCAGGACTCCTGTGTTGCTACTAAGCACCTGCTGGTTGTGTTGGCTGTTGCCTCTGTTCCGTAAAATGTCCAGCAGCTTCCTCCGTTGAGAAGATTTTGCGGGAAAAGCAAACGCTTTAGCGATGTCCGGCTCGTTGTCGGCATGCAGCTTAAGATGACGAGCAGCTTTTATCATCCCTTTCCCACAGACGTAACAGTAGTTGTGTATCGTGAAAGGCGGATTTTCCATGGACGACGTTTTTCCGTGTTTTGGTTCTCCGCCTTTCCCGGAATCACTTTCATCACACGATTTTTCCTCTAGCGGTGGAATAAGTGCCCGAGACGTCTCGTTAGAAGAATCCAGAAGCTTATTCTGGGAGCGGACGCCAATCGGTGCCGGTTCCTCATCCGATGAGGAGGATCTGTCGCAGTGGGAATCTGCTGCCATCCTTTTCTGAGGATAGAAAAGTTCACTCAGACTTTTAAAAGCAAAGAAACACAACATTTAAAAGGGAAACTGGTTTTCTGATCATGACCATTTGTCTCAGAGACAATGGAGAAAATGACCCGCACTTTTATAGCGCCTCCCAGAGTAAGGACTCCAAAGCGCTTTACACTACAGTGTATCATTCATCCATTCACACACACTGGTGGTGATGAGCTACGATGTAGCCACAGCTGCCCTGGGGCGCCCTGACAGAAGCTATTGAGCACAGGCGCCACCGGTCCCTCCGACCACCACCAGCAGGCAAGGTGGGTTAAGTGTCTTGCCCAAGGACACAACAGCAGAATTCTGTCCAGAGCTGGGATCGAACCTGCAACCTTCTGATTACTGGACAACCCGCTCAACGTGTTGAGCTACTGCTGCCCTTTATCAACCATTGAGTCTGTTTTTGACTACAGACTGTTGTATGACGTTGCTTACGAACCTTTTTCTTTCTTGGTGTCGATGAAGATGGTTGACTCTCCGTGTTTGAAGTCGATGAAGATGGTTGACTCTCCGTGTTTGAAGTCGATGAAGATGGTTGACTCTCCGTGTTTGAAGTCGATGAAGATGGTTGACTCTCCGTGTTTGAAGTCGATGAAGATGGTTGACTCTCCGTGTTTGAAGTCGATGAAGATGGTTGACTCTCCGTGTTTGAAGAAGTCTCGCCGAAGCAGAGTTCCTGTTAAAGTTATACAAGGTTAATAATAATTAAATAATCACTCCTGTAGACACTAATGAAGGCTGGAGAGACACTTCAGCTGTTAGATTAAGGTGATAAAAGGACAAACGCACAACAAGGAGACGAGTTTCACTTGTGGTGTTACTAATGGACACAAGGGCGTGCTAAAGCAAGACAAAACTGCTTCGTATCCCTTTAATTTTGGTGGATTTTCCTTTAAGCCATCAGCAAAGCTTATTTATTCATATACTAATTAATTTAGGTCCAAACCACATGGCAAGACATTTAAGCCATTTCTGACCCAATCTTCCCGTTTCAACAATCTTACATTTGATATATTTAATTATTTAGTAAGTAAATGTTATTTATACAGCACTTATCACAGACATAGAATCTTAAAGTGCTTCACATAGATCAAATCAAAATAAAACAAAGTCATAAAATCATAATGATCTCAAAGCAGAATCAGATTAACATCAGAAATGAATAAAAATTTCAGTTAAAAATAAGAAAAACTAAAGATTTAGGCAAAAGCAACTTTAAATAAAAGGGTCTTTAGCTGTTTTTAAAAGTGTCCAGACTCAACGCTGCGTAAGGATAAAGATCATTCCAGAGTCGGGGTGCAACAGCCTGGAAGGAGCGATCACCTCGACTTTTGTATCTGGTCTTTGGAACTTCTAGAAGGTTCTGGTGGGTGGACCTGAGGGCTCGGGTCGTAGCATAAGGCTTTACCAGCTCAGTAATATAGGGAGGAGCTTGACCAGGCAAAGCCCTGAAAGTTATAGTCAGGACTCTATAATGACGTCTAAAGTTAACGGGTAACCAGTGCAGAGACGCTAGATTAGGAGTGATGAGTGCTTTACTTAGTTTTACCTCGGAGCGCCACGGGTAACTGGAGTCCCCGTAGCTGTAAGTTATCTCCTCGCCTGGAAAAATGTCCTCCACTGCAAACAGACACAAGTGTGGCTTCCCCTCACAAACAATCTTCCTCATTTCACAGTTTGGACTGATGTGATCATCGTTCACCAATCTGCCGAGGGTTAGGTCCTCTTTGGAAGCATCAACGCTGTAAGAGAAGCGCCACTGAACCACAATGCAGCTAAAATGTTTTAAATACTTCAGTTAAAAGTTCTTAATGAAACTCAACGCACCACCACAGCTCTCCATTCCACGAAAACTCATACAGGAAACCTTTTAACATATCTCTGTGACTCTTCTCGGGTTTTCTTCCTCGTGAAATGAGTTCTCCGTGATATTCAATAACAAACGAGGACGATTTGATGGCTTTGCAAGTGAACACACCTCTTCCTGCAGAAAGAAAATAGACCTTACACACTGTTCTGGTTCCTGGCTGATGGATTAGGGTTTGACTCATTTCATCTGATGAAGATTAACTAGTCAGAAATATTTTCCCAGCATGTCCATTCAGCTGAAACTAATTTAAAGAATGAAACATCTCCAATTCTTCCGTGTAAACAGGAATTTCAGCTCCTACCTTTATCAGAGTCTATAAAGCGTTCTATAAGGAAGGGTTTGTCTTTACAAGCAACGATATGCGCCCTGGCGTCCTGCTCGGCTACCGCTTGCCTCCTCTGTTCTTTCATCATTGATGGAAATTAAAAATCTGTGATGAGAAAATCTGCAAAGCACAAAAATTCCAAAGATTATTTTCAGGTTTTTAATGCAATCAAAACCAAAAATTATATATTTTTCACAAGCAAAAAAGGGAATTATTTGAAGTCTTCAAACAATATTTTACATCTAGAAAATGATGCAAAAGGCTTTTATGACAGGAACACGCTCATAAACCTGGACACGACTACTTCTAGTTTATAAAGTTTGTTTTTTATGTTAAAGAAAGAAGAATAATCAGCTTAAACTGGTCTTCTGCAGAAACGCTGTGGGCAAATCGATGCAATCATCCCGATCCTGGGTGGACGTGATGTGTAACCACGACAACCAGTTGGGGATGCAAACACACCGCGTGTTAGCAAACTGCATATCCACCCAAATGAAAATTTGCACAACTAGATGTTTAAAAACAAACATTTTCAATCTACAAAAAAAGTGCCAACTTTTTGCTTTTATTAATAAAAACTCATAAATTACATCTTCTATTATCACACAGATTTACCGCCACACCCTGTTTTAGTCCAGGTTTTCTGCCTTTTCTAATTTTAGCTTGTTTTCATATGAAGCCATTACGTCAGGTAAATTTAAGGTTCACTTGGTAAAGTGACGCACAAACGTTTTGTCCTGTCGCCTAATCACAAGGAAAACAGCAAATGTAATATTATGATATGATATTGCCCTACGTTCCCCACTACACAAACCAATCGTTTGTCCTGTTGTCAGAGGGGCAAACAAAATACAGCTTCATAGAATAATGTCTGAACCTTTTGACCATGCAATTTAAATAAAAATGAATGCTATAACTAGTATAATATAATCTGCATTAACTGGTATTTATAAACACAGAACAACATTCAAATAAAGTGTTGGCTCTAGATATTTTGAGATAAAATACTTTATAACGTCTCATATGCATCCGTGTTCACCACCACACTTCCTTTATAATGTCTGATTTATCAAAAACATTTGTACTTTGGAGCACTTTTCTCAGACTAAACCTGGTTTGTTTGCACCTAGCTGTGACTCCAGTATCAATAACATTTGGTGTGTTGAGCTATTTGAATAGCTACTACACAAAAAACCAAAACCAGTTCACCAAAGTCAATATTTATCCTTCCTAAGTGTTTAGAGGTACAAATAAAATGAGCTATAAGTCGACTAAAATGTTGTGTTCGTTTATTTCAAGCCAAATTGTAGTGGAACGAATGGGTTAAGGTCAACTATAAACCAGTTCTTTAGGATGATTTATGCTAACAACCTAGCATGCAAACATGCATTTAAAGCTGGTTGTTTTGTAGCTCACATGCTAACTCTCACCAGTAGTTATTTCATCAGCTGGCTCGTTTTCGGTCGTTTATCTCAACGGAACCAACAAAACACGTCGTCGTCACACAAAACGTTTTACCTGCGCTTCAGTGAGCCAAAGCAGACGCAAAACAGACGAGAAACGTCGCTAGCTCAAGGGCTGCCATGTTTTTCTTCTGCCGTGTCGCGACCACGTGACAAAAACGTTACCATTTCTGGTGCGACCGGCGGCTTCTTTAACCAACCAGTGACTGAAACGTCACTGATTGACAGTCGTATCAGCGAATCGTTGCGCGCGTGCTGACCTGCCACGGGGAGCAGCAGAGGACAGACGTGGTTTGCGAGGACATTCCGAGGACACAGTTTGTGCCAAACGTAAAACTTTAACGTGTCATTTTTATCTTGATAACAAATGTAAACATCAACTTTTACAGAATAGTGTTTAAAATGTTTTATTAAAAAAGAACAAACAATATAAAAAGTCTAGGCAGCTACAGACTACGAACATCATAAGCTTGAGTGGATTGAAATAAGCATTGTTTTATAGAACAGGATTCATTTTGGATGACACAGCATTCCCAAAAAACTCACCTCAGGACCAGCATCGGAAAAGAGTTTTTACACACATCAGTAATTTGTACTCCTTAGATTACTTCACAGCAACTTCAGTTACATTCAAATCCATCATGTGACCAAATTTCTTTAAATCTACTTATAACTTATCTTTAAGAGCACGGATTGGACACTGGTGGTGGTGATTTGTCCATTTATGTCCAAAATGTTTAAACATGAATTCCCAAAACATTTCCTTTTGTGCTAATGTGAACGAATGTCAAAAGGCCTCTTGAAACAAAAGACGACAGAATTTTGGAAAAGTCAAAAGCTTTTAGCACGTTTCATTACAGTAGGAATAAAAATGAACCCTTTTAACAGAAATCTTCTTAAACTCTTAGATTCCCAAAACAAACGACAGATCCAGGAGGAAAAAAACAGATAAATCCTCATTAAACCCTTTTCTTCTGAAACAAACCAATCAGAATTTCTGTTTCTTCCCCATCTCATCGCCGTTGACCTCTACCCAGACAACACGAAGATCTGTGTGCACTGATGGATCTGAACACATGAACATAAAGGAAAGGAAGCAAGCATAACACGGATCGGCTGCGTCCTGAGCAGCAGGAAAAGCTGAGCGGTCGCTGTGCGTCTAAAAATGTGCAACTTCCTGTTGACGTGATTCTCTGGAGCTCAGCACGCCGCTGTTGGAGTTTTCCGGAACAAGCTGTTGCCAACGTTTATTTACAATCCACCTGAAAACCACTAGAAGGTCACTTCGGTTCTGTTTGTCACTCCGAGTCCTCGTCCTGCCCGTCTGGTATAAAAGGTGGGTCGTCTTTCTGCACGCCTTCCTCTCTCTGCACATCGTCTTTCTTGGCCTTGAGGTGCAGCTCTCTGACGACGAGGATGCGGGTGAGCATGGCCTCCATGGCGCCGTCGTCCAGAGGAGTGGAGGAGAACCAGAGCGGGCTGTTGGGGACGCAGCAGCGCTCCGGATGAAGGTAGAACATGTTGGTGCGCTGTTTGACCGACTCCGAGCTGAAAGGAAGACAAATGAAAATGAACGGATTATTTTGCAGCCCAGAAAACGTTTTTCCATCAAAGCTTTTTGTTATTCGGACCAACAAGCTGAGTTCCTGAGATGAATCTGGCTGAAAACTTTGGGAGCAGCAGGACAACGTGACGCTAAAGTAAAAGCTACGTCATCCGTTCCACCTGACAGGTGCAGGTTCTGCACCTCCAGCGGGACCTTAGCTGTGTGAAACTGACTCGGAGCAACGGAGCATCTGGTCTGCACCCACCACTTGGAAAGGTAGAACTCGTACAGCCTGACGGGACAGCGAAGGGGATTCTCCGTGTTCTCCATCATCTCCAGGATCTCCTCCTTACCCTCTTCTTTACGCCTCTTCGCTGGAACCACGTCTGGATCTGAGGATGAACAGGAACACAAACTGAACATCAGCTTGCTACACAAAGCCGAAGGCGACTGAACACAACCTGGAGTGTTTTTCTGAAGAACATTTTAAAGGAGGTCTTGGTTCTACAGGACTTTACGGGAGGCTCTGACGCTCCGGTGGAGCTGAACTCGGGAAAGCTTCAGATAAATTAGTCCATTCTTTACCCAGCTCCGTCTCGTTGACGGATATGGGCGGGTAGAAGCGCAGGAAGGTGGTCTTGGTGCCGTTCGGGTTGGTCTTGGTGCAGCGCATGACGTGTGCGAAGGACAGCTGGCGGTGCTGCTCCACCGTGGTGAAGCCGAAGTATTTACAGCCGAAGAAGAGGAGAGTGTTGAGCAGGACGATGGGGGAGTACGCCCCCAGCTGTTTACAGTCCCACAGGAAGTTCTCCTCCACTCGGGAATGGACGTAACCTGCAGAGGAACGAGGAGACGTCAGAAACCCGGAGAAACCCGCCGGGAGCGTCGGGACGGACCCACGACTCACCGCTGGACGTGACCGTGGGTTTGAAACCCTTCAGCATGCTGGTGAACTCCGACGAGAACTTCCCGTAGAAATGGTCCATGAAGATGTTCTCCACACGGCCGTTTTCAAACAGGTACTACAGGGACACAGAGGGGTCAAAGGTCACACGTACAGCTAAACAGCCCTAGAATCCTGGATGGAAGGTCTATCAGGTGTTCCTCAGACAGAAGGTCAGCTGGAGGTGGACGGATCTCTCAGGATTCAGGACTAAAATATTCTCCATGTTTGTGTGAGAGCGGGCTAACAACCTCTGATGGTTTTAGGTCTACGGCTCAGAGGTAAGAGGCCAGCTGCAGAGATGAAACCTGAGAAGAGCGTTTCAGGATCAGAGGCGGTCTGGCTCCTGGCCGAAGACTCTGGCACGCTGCCGCTGCTGAACCGGGCGCGTCTCTCACCTGCTGGATGCCGAGGCAGAGGTAGAACAGGCTGTCGGGGGAATACTGCTCTCCGCCCGGCCGCTTCACCTCGTTGATGAAGCAGCACAGACCGTAGCTGAGTTCGGCGGTGGTGCAGCGGAGAAGGTCCTCCCTCAGCTCCAGAGGCCGCGCTGAGGTCAGCAGATAAAAAATCAGAGAAGAGCGGGAAAACGGCAGCCATTCCAGAAGGGTCCCGACTTACAGCCCAGGCGCCGCTGCTCCAGGTTGGGCTGAGTTTGTCTCCACTGGATCCAGCGCTTCCAAGCATCCACTCCGTACTCGCTCTTCAGCTTCTGCATCTCCGCACACACCATCTTCCTGGGAGAGGCGGCTTCCGCGGCTTTAGAAGGTCGCTGCGACTTTCGACCCTAAAAGCAGAAGCAGAGATAAAGACGACTGCGTCGACGATCCCGTGGGAATCGCCGGAACGTTAGTGCTTACCCGTTTGTCTCGGGCTTTCCGGGCAGCTTGCCGTCGCTTCGGTACGGGCGAAGGACTCGGAGTTCTGCAGAGCTCTCTCATCCGGGCCATCCTCTCCACGGTTTCTGGCAAAGACACAAAGAGCAGGAAGCATGAAGAGCGGGAACTCCGAGATGAGGGTGATTCCAAACGGTCTCCCAGCCTCGCGTTCTCTTCTCACCGATAGTGAAGTCTGCTTCGATGTCCATGGGGGGCGGCAGCGGTTCCACGTACGGCTCAGGGGGCGTGTCCTCTGGATACGTGGTCGGCTTCCCGGAAGCGTTTGATTGACTCGACAACTTCAGACCGGAATCGGAGGAGGGGTCTTCCCAGTTGTTCAGGAAACTGGCCAAGTCGTCCGTATCCAAGTCATCGCTATAGTTACTGACGCGGTCTGAAACAAAAACACAGAATCACAAACAGACCCCGACGCTTCCGTTAAGGTGTCATTATTCCCGCTACCATCTCCTGCAGCCGCCTCTGGCTTCTCCGCCTCATTCCCAAACGCTTTTTCCTTCTGAGTTTCCTGTTTGTCATCCTTCTCCTCCTCCTCTTCTGCCACCATCTCGGCCATGAGGATGAGCTCCGCCTCAAAAGGATTCGACGGGATCTTCTGCTTGATCTCCTTTATGGTCTCCACGATGCGCTCGGCGCTGTTCATCGTCACGGGAAGAAACATCGGGACAGGCAGCTGGAGGGAGAACGGGTGAGACGTTATCGGAACGTTCTCTTGGTGATCAACATCTGTCCGGAGCTGATGGACCTACAGGCAACGGGAGGCCCACGGGCTTGGGGGCATACTGGCTGTACATGCCCATGGGTACAGGAAGGTAAACGGGAACAGGAACCGGCAGAACCAGGACTTTTGGGAAGGCGTCGTCTGTGGAGACAAACACAAAACTAAGTTGTGAACCTCAGCGGTGATTTTCACCATCGAGTGCAGACGTCTGACGTCATTAACGGAGCTTATTCCATACAGATGAGTTATATTCCTAGGAAACTTCATCGCTGACATTCCAGACAGGGATCATAGGCTAACCCTAACCTGAGGAATCGTTTCAGACCTACTGGGAATGGTTCATCAGGAGTTCTCCTGATCCGGAAGCTCGTCAGGATGGTTCCTCACAAAACCGGACATTTCAAACCTCAACGTCCAGCTTAACGGCCTACACCTGTTCGCCTGTCCTGGGATCGGGAACGTACGGAGCATCCGTACAGGATGTAGATTTGTAAAAGGATCTGACCTTAAAGATGGAAAAGCTGCAGCTACACATGTAAACTGATGTTGTTCCGGACAAAGGCCAGAATGGCCGCCAGCAGCAGGACTTTTTACCCGTCTGCGTCTCCGCTTCCGCCATCTGCGCTCGGCAGGAAACTCCTTTATTCTGCACCAGCGGCCGGCAGAGCAGAGCTTTGTTCTTCAGGACCTTCGGTGGAGGAGGAGGAGGGTGGGAGCGCATGGGCTCGGTCTGGGTGCTGATCTAAAATCAGAAGACAAAGCCTTAAAAAACTCCAGGCAGGACATGAAGGGATTAACCCGGCACTCACGTGTCCGCAGCTCTTTGACTGGAGGTGTGAGTTTGCACCTGCAGGCGACAGAACGAAGGTGAGAAACTGTGGATAAAACCAGAACCAGGTGTGTCTCTGTGTCCCGTACTTGGTGCAGCAGGTGTGTCGTTTATGTCTTCTGCTGATTGGTCGGCCAGTGACACGACGTTGGCGATCACAGGTGTGTCCTCTCCTGCACCTGCTGCAGACACCAGAGCTTCAGCGTTCTCACACAAACAGCTGCGGCTGAGATTTACAGATCAGGGTCCGGACTAGGGCTGGGGGACGTCTGTTTTACAGGGATACTTACGGCTAATTCTTCACACTTTAAAATCCTTTTCTTGAGCTAGTTTGTGCTGAAATGACCCTTTACAGAGTTCATGAAAGGCCACCCAGCCCCCAAGCCCCACTTGCAACTTGGGAGTGGCGGCTGCTCTGTTGGGACGGACATACCTGGTGCTGCAGTCTGCTTCCAGCACGTTTCCTGTGTGATTTAGATCCTTTAAACAGCTGATTTGATAGACTGAGTGATGAGTCACTCCTGTAGACACTCATGAAGGCTGGGAGACGCTTCAGCTGTTAGATTTAGGTGTTAAAGGCGTTTCTACAAACGGACACTAGGGGGTGCTAAAAGCGCTAGCCTGGTCTCCCTTTACTTGAATTCACAGCTCGTGTCTCGGATCGAGTGTTTGGGTTAGCCCACGTTTCTCGGCCGCGTGGGTCGGACGTCACCTCCGTAGTGATCTTCATCTAGCTGTGGTCATACGGCGTGCCTCTGGTGGACGCCGGTTGCAGCGTCTGGGGTTGGTTATGAGCGCTAACGCCACCCGTCGACGCTGCTTTTACGTCGTCGTCGTCTCTGTATTCCTTTCCGAGGTTCTTTCGCAGGTGGTGAAAGAAACTTGGGAGTGTCTGAGTCTGTTGGCGCCGTGAGCCGACAAACTCCACCAACAACTGCTCTCTGGCTCACGTCGGCCTTCCTGTACCCTGTAAAACGCCGAACCGCGGTGTAAACGTGCCCAGCCCTAGTGCGGATCTGTTGGTGCTCAGACTTCCCGATGGGATCAACTCTCAGCTGCAGAGAGACGTGAACTCAGTTTCAAGTGGTGCCGGACAAATACACGGCCCTCTTGGATGACACCTAGTGGCCGTTACTAGAAACTACAACTGGACTTCTCTGTCAGCGACCAAGCGGCAAACCTGGGCGACGAGATACTGAATCCTCCCTAAATGTCACACACACAGTTATTTATTTATTTTTAATGTTTCTGGCCAGCATGCGTACAAAAAACAGGGAAACGAGTTGGCCTGGCTGCAAACTGTTGCTTGGTGACCTCACCGAATTCCCTTATTGTTGCGTCTCACCTCCTAGAGAGCACAGGTGCAGCCAGCGGTTCAGGTCTGTTTCAACCTCTGAAGCGGGAAGCAACGCAGCGACGCACCAAACGAAGCTTCGGGCGTCGCTGATCACGTGATTCTGCTCAGGCGCGGTGCTTCTGAACCGACACGTGCGTGGGAGCTTCAGCTTCAAGAGGACCATCGCTAGTTTAAAGCTCCCATGTGAAAGGTGGCAGGAGGTCGGAATTCCCTCAGCGGGAATTTTAATCTGAGAATAAATTCTCTTATAAGAGAGCAGAAACAGAGTTCTGACTCTTTTCCAGCTCAGAGCCGCTGCTCGCTTCCCGTTGATCCGACAGAAAACGTCCATGAATGAAAATCACAAAAAACCCAAATTATAACCAGAGAGCCTGAAAGGAAAGCCACTGAGGCCCGGAGAGGGCTCACCGTTCACCGGCCCCTGCGTCACCACGGTGTCGATGCAGAACTTCAGCATACAGATGAGGCCGCAGAAGTGTTTGACCTCCCCGAGCAGAGGCAGGCTCTCCTTCAGCTTCCCCTTCCGTCCGCAGCTGTCGCACTTGGCCACCTGAGGGGAAACAGCGTCAGACGGCTGCAGGGGCAGTCATGCGAGGCGTTCAGGAGCAGGTTCTGCTCCGCTTACGTGGCAGAAGAGCATGGTGTACTTGGACCGGCACTCGTCTGAGCAGAACTCCTCGATGGAGGTGCCGTACTGCGCCGTCACCAGCTTCCTGGACACACACTGGCAGTACGCGCAGGCCTGACAGTGCTTGCCCCAGTTCTTACTCAGCTCGTGTCTGAAGAGGAGCTTACAGCCTGGAGACAAGAGGAGAGAAGCGGTCTGGGTCAGAACCGCGGGCCTCGGCAAACCCAAACCTGAGAGCCGAGACGCCGCACCGTCGCTGCAGAAGTAGCAGTCCTTGTTGTCGATCCTTTTGGCCTCTCTGATGAACTTCTTTATCTTGCAGTACTCGCACAGGCTGATCACAGCGTTGACCTTCTTGTACTCGGCGGAGCAGTCGGCAGAGCAGAAGAAAAGCAGCTTATCCTGAAACACGCAGAGGGAAAACGATCCCGGTCGTCAGTGACGACCAGAAGTCCCTTCTGTGATTAAACCGTCTGCTGGAGCCCAGAATCAGAGTTTCCTTCATGTCAAACAAACGGTTTTCCACCAGCGCTCCTCCGTAAACCCAATCACGATTACTCTACACCAGCTACTTCTCTACAGCCATCACGCCGCGGTGAGGCTCCACCTAAGCTGCGGAGTTTAACGCCCTCTGGAAGCGCAGGGCTTCAACAACTGGCTTCCTTTGATCTGGAGAACACAAATCGGGGTCATTTTCATCTCATTAACGCGACTTCACAGTTAGGAGAAAATACAGAACAGCCGTTCAGCGTTTTCCTAAACACCAAGCCACGGGACTCCAGTGTTCCGGGATCTTCCGTGACGTCCTGGTCTGCCCTACCTTGATCTGAATGAGCTCCGGTTTGCTGACGATGCTCTTGCTGCACTGGCAGCAGGCGAGTCTGGACGGCTCTTTGGTCTCCGGCTGCTTCTTCTGGACGGTCGTGGTGGCGACCGGGCTCTGGGACGATGCCACAGAGAGTTTGGTGAAAACGCTCAGCTGAGACTGGCTCTTCTTAAACTTCTCCTGCGGCAGAAATCCAAGGATCAGAGGAGCTGCGAGGAGCTGCGGGTGTCAGACAGGAAGAGGGATTTTTACCTGGAAGGACATGACGCACGGCAGCGAGCAGAAGTTCCTGATGGAGGTGTCGGACATGGCCAGGTGGTATGACGGTACGGTGGTTTTGCTGCAGTAGTCACAGTTCAGTCGAGTTCCTGCAGGGAAGAAATCAGGCTGAACGT